AAAAAAAAAAAAAAAAAAAAAAAAAACCACCTTGCTCCAAGTAAAAGCCATATAACAAGAATTCAGCGAATAGGTTCGAGTCACAGACATGCTAACAATGACACAGGGAAGGGCTGGTCTGTGCAGTCTGGCCCCCCGGGCTCCAGTCCTCGCTCTGCTTCTGAGGGCTCGCGGCGTTGGGCAATTCCACCTCCTCTCTGTTCAGTAGGGATCGTGATAATAGGAATCTGACCTTGGTACTGTTCTAGGGTTAAGTGAGTTACGTGAGATTAGAATAGTGCCTGACACATCATAAAACTTGACAAAATAATACCTGTTGTTATGATTGTTCATCTACTTTTTTTTTTTTTATCTTTGACACATAAGAATGCTGGTAGAATGTTATGATAAAAATCCCTGTGCTAATATCCTTGGAATGCTATCTTATACACACCCTGGATTTTCAAGGCCCTGACTGCCGCATTAGTGATGTGCCACAGACTGTTCTCCTGTGTAATGAAAACCCTTTTTTACCATTCTGTCATTTGCCTCTTTGCACCTCCGAAGAGGGGAGATGCCCTCTGTTTCTGCAGTGAGGTGGCAGCTGAGCAAGTTGGCTGGACAGATGTTCATGCAGCCAGAGTCCTTCTCCTGCAAACACTTTTCTGCCAAGCATGTCCTCTCTCAGGCTGAAGAGCTTCGGTCTTTCTCTGTCCCCCCCTGTGGCTTTCTTCCAAATGCCTTGGTCACTTGTTCCCCTTGTTGGGATTCTGTGCTTCTCCTTTAAGTGTGTTTTGAGGTTCAACAGCCAGACAGGCACATGCTCACATGTAGGAGACTGGTGACCTCTGTATGCCAGGGAAGCCCCCCCGGGACTCCCTGCTCAGGTCGTTCACCAAGACTGGGAATGGCTTGGCCCCATAGCCTCAGAAAGTGACAGTCTCTCCCTTGTTTATGCTTCTCCCAAAGGAATGTTGGGTTTTCCCGGCTGTTTAGTTCAGCTTTTGAAGCAGCCTCCAAACACTGTATAATACTCCTTTCCTCCTAAATCTAGGGTAACTCTTTGCTAACTTTGCATCATGTGCCTTTGCCAGATGGTAAAACGGTCTTACTGGTCTGATGATTGATGGTTTTCGGTGTTTGATCTCTAGTGTGAACCTATTGGCAGCTGTTTGCTCTTAGCCAAGGGGAAGAAAGCCACTTTAAGATTGTTTGATACCAAATCACAGTACACTTTATAAATACCAATGAGACTTTTATTTCTACCCATGGTGAGACCAGAGGGCTAGAGGATGTGTGTTTTAATACAGTGTGCTCTTAGTGAATGAAACTGAAAATACACTGGGCAATAGTGACTCACATTGAGAGCAGAATGTCTAAGAGGTCACAGAGACAAGTCCCCAAATGCCTGGGGACTGTCCCCATTGTCTACATGGAAACCACCATTCTCAGTGTTCTTATTACCCTCTTAGCATTTCTTTATGAAGTTTAAGCAAATATTAACCCTGTGCCTAATGTTGTTATTTAACTTAGTGTATTAGCCAGCATTTGACAGAGAGCCTTCTTAAGCATTTTGTGAATTGTTAGATACACTTTTAGACATTGCATTTTTTTGGACATTTTTAAAAACATTTTTAAATATGCATTCATTTAATAATAAATGGTCATTTGTTTTTCTAGCTGACCCACAGAAGTTATTTTAAAACAAATATAGCTATGACAGTACTGTTTATTTCTGTTACTCAATAAATATTATGCTAAGTAGAAATAATGGTAATTTTAAAAAGTTATAAGAGCTAACACCCACAAGGTGCTTTCTGTGTGCCAGGAATGATGGAAGCATTTTGTATATATAAACTCCTCTCTAATATTTGCAACACTACGAGCTAGGTATTATATTAACAATTACTTTTACTATTACATGAGGACACTAATGGATATCTCGGAGATTATACAAAGATGAATTAGTCGCTGGTCCTACTGTCAAGGAAAATCTAGTAGGGAGCTAGATCCACAAGGAAATGCTGTAGAATAGAGCATTTCATATACTTATAGGAGACAGAGATGTACTGAGGCTATTAGAAAAGTCCCAGGGAGAGCATCTGATGCAGCTTGGGGGTGGAGGAATTAGGAAGGGCTTCCTGGGAGAAATGGCAACCGAGATGATCTTAATATACAAGTAGAGACTGGCTGGGTAAGGAAGGAAAAAGGCACCAAGGCCCGGGGACGTAGGCAAAGGCAGGAGGTGACAAGCAGCAAGCTGGCTGTCCTCTGGGAGCTTTTGAAAACCCCACTCTCACTTAGGGGCTGAGTACAAAGTAAAGAGACAGAGAAAAGTCCTTGTTTTCATTATTCAGCCCATAGCAGTGAAAACTAAGTTTCTGGAGTCCGGAGACCACACTCAGAACTTTTGTCCTCAAACCCAGCATCATAAATGTTACTTGGAGACTTCACCTTCTAAATCTTTCTTAAATCTATCCCCTTCTCTTCTCTACCTGCTTGCATCTCCCAAACGTCCTGGAAAGTGATGGGACCGAACCACATGTGTCACATCCTGTCTCAATTTCAACACCTCTAGCAGAAGCAAACGAGAGGCATCGCTTGTGGTCTTCTACTTGGCCCGGGGTCTCAGGCTCCTTCTCAACAGCGTGCTCTAGGCAGACATCAGCAACCCATTAGCGTTTCTGTGCACAGTTAAACCCGTCTGCCATTCCTAGGCTGAGAGGACAGGGCTCTTCATGATTCTGTCTCCTGCCGAACTTTCTGGTCTTACCTCTGGTTGTTAGTGCACCAAGCTCTTAATTGCAACATCACCAACTTCTTCGTTCCCCGGAGAGGAGTATCATACCTCCTAGGGATGTGGGAAACTTGATTTTCCTAAGCATTCCTTGGGGCTGGTGGGCTCTGGCTGCTTTGGCAGGGAAGAGACGCCCCCAGGATGTGACTTTCTTTGTGGCAGGAATATGTGTCCGACTAGGCCTACTCTCTACACTCATCTGAGTAAGAATTTTCCCTGTTTTAGAGATAGGATTGAGGCATGGAGAGGACAGGCCATTTCACCGAGATGACCAAGTCGGGTTTATAGCCAAACTGTACGTCCATCTTCATGTCTGTGGCTCCTTCCCTCTCTCTGTTAGAATATATGTCTAAGCATACGTTTAGCAAGTGGAACTCAACTCTGGAAATATGGAGAGGGAATGGGCTTGGCAAGGGCTTTGTAGAATCTTTTAATAAAGCCCATGATATACTTTGTAATGCACCTCTTTCTAGCAAGTATCATTTTGTTTTTGTTTTTTAATGAAAAATTATTTCTTCCCAATTTGTAAACTTGTCCCAGCAGTACTGGAAACAGCACTGAGGAGACAGATGGAAGGACACATTTATCAATCCTATTGTATCTGTTCCAAAAATGGGACTGTTCGTAAAGCAGGGGAAGAAGTCAAGAGTGGGGGGTGCTGGGGGAATTCGTGTGGCTGCCGGTGACCCCCAGAGCCCACTTCTGTGTTCACAGACTAAACAAAGAGAAACAGTGAGTCTTTCTCGCATCCTTAGCGGTGGACAGAGGAAGCCTCAAGTGCTTTCTGGGTCATGATTTCTCTCTTCATTCCCATAGTGATTGCAAAAGGGATCGAAGCCTGTACTCCGCATTCCAGCTAGAGAACCTCTTCAATATCAGTGAACATCTCAGCATTAAAGAGGTGAGCCCTGTGACTAACACCGGTCATGGGAGTGACATATGTTTTTACTAAATCCAGTTGTCTTTCTTTTTTTGAAAATTGAGATGAAGTTTACATAAGAGAAACTTAGCCATTTTCAAGTGACATCTAGTTCACAAGGTTTTGCAACCTTCACCTCTATCTAGTTGCAAAACATTTTCTCACCCACAACCACTTTTCTTTCTTGCACTGTGAGTTTTTCTAGTAGATTATGCAAGAGCCTCTAAGGGGACCTCACTGTAGACACTCATAAGGAAAGATTTTATTTTGCTGAGTGTGGAGGTTCCTATAGGAATGAGCCCCACTCGTCCCCAGGGAGGTTGGCCCTCCAAGGCCAGCCACCTTTTCTGCCAGGTCCCAGAATTGGGTGTTAGGCACTGAGAAGGATGGTCCAAACGCCTCATTCTTTCTGTATCACGTTGTGGCCCCAGGACTCCCAGGACTCAGGTGGACTCTGGTGAGCTCTGCTGACCCTTAGCAAGAGGCAGAAAGGATGGAAGCAGACCAGATAGAATGACGTCCTCTCTTCCTTTGCCTGAGTCTACATTCTGGTCTTGACTCCTAAGACTCTGAGGAAAGGCCATTCCAGAGCACACTGGCCAGAAGAATGAACAAGGGAGTTTCAGCTGCCCAGGCCTAGAGTGCCATTAGCCCAGACCGTCCCCACTCCCCTATACCTGGTGGCCTCTTTTGGCCTTCTCAGCTGTGCAGAAAAGAATCTAGAGAGCCTTCTATTTTGGGGGCTTCCAGAATGAGAGCAGATGCCAAGGGAGGAGGTTATTCCCTAAGCCCCACAGCTCGCCCACTGAGACATCACGGAGGCCATTGCGGCTTGATAGTTTTCAGACACAAAGAGGTTTATTTGAAAGTTGCATATGAATTTGGTATTGATTATCTTCCCTAAATCCTCCTTACATGTTCATAAATAAAATACAATTTTGTAACAAACCCTAAACAAATGCCCTCCACTCATTTGCCCATCATGCTGTGCCGTGTCAGATACTGGTTGGGGAGTGTCACCTGGGACATTCAGGCACTTCCTGCTGCCTGAAACTACTGACCGGCTATTAGGACAACCCCAAACCGACAACAACATTCCCGTGATCTCCATCTGAGTAACTAAACACTGTTTCCCAGATGATATCTGCCTTGTCTTCCCATGGCCCAGCTTTATGCGTGCTGGTCCTTCCCTGGAATGCCAGCCTACCCTGCCCTTTCAGCATCTGCATTTGTCAGGGCTGGGGGCTCAGAAGCCACCTTTCCTATATTGTCCTCCCCATCCATTTCCTTGGAGGCCTCTCCCTGGCTCTGGTGTCCTGATGCAGTTTGAGTACCTCTCTTATGACCCAGCCTCATCCCTTTGAGGTCTTTGAGGGTGGGGAGGGAATCCTATTTTGCTCTGCACCCTGCCTCCTGGAAGAGTGCTTGCCATGGAACACAGAGAAGGAGGCAGGAAGGCAGGGAAGGAGAATGCGGGAGGATAGTAGCAGGAAGAAATGCCAGTCAAGGGCATGCATATATATATATTTTTGCCCTGTGTAGTTTTATTGCTCTTTCCAAGCATTATGTATGTGACATTCTTGGGCAATAATGGATTGATTTATAACTTTTTTTTTTCATGCAGCGTGCTGGAAGCATAGGCAATGAATTTGAAAATCTGAACATAAAGCTTAACATTGTTCTGATGGATGCAGCAGGAAGAAAAGCCCTTCAGGATTTTGCTGAATGTGGAATAGACAAAATAGATTATAACGCCTACTTGGCTCAGGTGTGACCCCTGGGTTCGTGCTTGATCTTTTGAGGAGAAATTAGAGTATCGGATATGTGTATTTCTTTTTTTGTTTTTTTTTGTTTTTTTACTGAGATGAAATTTGCATAACATAAAACTAATCCTTTTAAAGTGAGTAATTCTGTGGCATTTATACTCAGGGTGTTGCACAAGTATCTCCCCTGTCTAGATCCAGAGCTTTTCTATCACCCTGAAGGAAGTGCTGTCCTATGAGCAGGGGATCCTCATTCTCTCCTCCCGCAAGCCCCTGGCAACCACTAGTCTGTGTTCTGTTTCTGCAGATTTACCTATTCTGGGGATGTGTCATATAAATATGTGACCTGTTGTGTCTGGAGTTATTCACTTAGCATATTTTGAGGTTCATCATGTTTAGCATGCATCTGCATGTCATTCCTTTTTATGGCTGAGTACTGTGATTGAATAAAAATAATATAGGTTTATATGTATAAATAAGAATGCAGATGTTGTCACCTATATAAGAATTGATAGCTTTACTTTATTATTTATGGTTATGGACCTATGTTCAATATGTTGTCTTTTGGATGTTGTTAAGGTTTAAAAATCCCATATCCATAACACAGTTTTTTTCACTTCTTTTGTAGTCTAGTAAATATCCCACAAAAGTGAATCTTTTATCATTTGCAAATGATCTGGAAGCAAAAGCAAACCAGACGGTGAGTTCAAATAGCCGGGCTAAATGCTGTATTGGTTGTAGATGTCAAATGTCAGTACCATTCTCAGGGAAGCTACCCAAGAGGTTCCTTAGGCCAAGGTAATCCCTTGTTTGAAAACTCCTCTCATGCATAAGTTCCCCTCAGCAGCCATTGCCATGCGGTCCAAACCTTGATGAGCCGTGAGTATTTCCAGGCAGTTTTGGGGTGACCACAGCAGCTCCCGTCCTCTGCTCCTCAGGCTGGTGCCCTCTCTGCTGTAGTTCCAGACCTGCTTCACCCTGTCAACCCTTGCACCTCCACACACATGCGCGCGCGCGCGTGCACACACACACACACACACACACACACACACACACACCATTTTCCTTGCAGTGTAGGAAATAGTAACTGAGCACATGGGAGGCAGATTCCATGTGGTGCTCTTCATTGCCAGTAGTAAGTGGATAAGGGAGGGCAGAGGCCCCAGGCCAGTCTTATAAGCTTCCCCCTCATCAACTCCTCTGCTGGGTGGTGACTAAATGTCCTTAACTGGTCCCTTCTCAAAAATAGCAGACCCTGGTGACAACAAGGAATCTGGGCTCTGCAGGAAGACCCGGGTTTAGATCCTGACTCAGCATCTTCCTATCAATAGGAGCTTCGGCAAGATATTTCACCCCTCTGTCCCTTAGTTTCCTCATCTGTAAAATGGGGGTAATAGTATCCACCTTGTAGGATTGCTGTATGTTAATATACTAAACACTATTTAAGTGTGGGTTAAATTAAAGCTTTTCAGTTTTCTCATCTGTCAAGTGGGGAAACATGGCGGCTGTATCAGGCTAAGGAAGAGAAAGAGAGAACACAGCCACTGCCACCGAGGAAGGGCTTATGAGTGTGGAACATTGCTGAGCATCCATGGCTCTGTGATTTGAAGCGGGCTGCCTTGCTGCTGCCCCTCCCAGCCAGCCGCTGTGCCAACCACAGCCCTCACCGTGCAAGGAGGGCTGCATGCTTATGGCAAGGCTGCTGGGCCCCTGTGGGTAGAGACAGGGCTTCAGAGTCTGAAAAGATGGTGCTGATCTTTGTTTAATTTATTCTTTTTGTAGAACCAAGGAACTTTGGCACAGTCCCTGAAAAGAAATGCACAAGATATTAAAATGATTCACGAACAACAAGTTGTGCCTATGATAGAGTCCCAGGTAACAACCCGCAACCTGTGCTATTTCTCTGGGACCTGAGCAAAATCTATTGCACCTAGTCAGCTTTCATTCAGCCTAATGACCCGTGCTCACCTCATGTAGGTCCCGTCTGATTGGCTTCCATCTCAAATTGAGCTGGGCTTTAAAGAAGACAAAAATTGCACCACCCCTCATCTGCTTATTTCCTTTCTGTTTTCCATCTGAGTGTGAAATCGGGCTGTCTCCTGCACCTTGCTCTGGTGCCTATTCCTGTCACCGGGCCCCTTAAGCCACACGTCAGCTGCAGCGCTGGTGTGTTTGTTCTGGACTCACTCCCACTTACTTTCCAACTCTTTCTCTGCAAACTGTGTATGTGAAAGTGAGGGCAAGTGCTTTTTACTTCGCTCCCATGGCTGTCTCTCCATGGTCATTTCTTCCTCTCTCCTCTCCTCTCTTTCATCCTTTCCATTCCCTTTTTCTCTCACTGCCTCTAGCTTCTTTCCTTAATGCAGTAGAGGCAGTTTGTAGCAGAGAAAGAACATGGGCTTTGGAGTCAGAAAGACCTGGCTTCAAATCTTGCTTCTGCCTCTCCAGTGTGGAGTAGCTTCTCGGTTTCCTCATCTAAACATGGTGGGAATGATTCCTGCCTTGCTATGACCTAGTTTCAGGAGATGAAGGACCTGACCTCAGAGGGACTCAGCACATAGCAGGAATTTTTATTATACTTGCATACAGCTGTGTTTGCAATTGTCAAGGAGAGAACTGTGTGGGACTAGGTTACGAAGACAGTTTGCATGGGTTTGGAGAATCATGTGAGTCCAATAGACTACAACATCTGAACCTTCCAGAACTGGTTTTTACTCTCTCTTCTTTTATTCCTGACTTTCTAATTACAGAGTCCTCTTGTTGAATTTTCTTAATTTGTGAGCTGTGCTCTTCACAATTCTCTGCTATACTTGTTTATGCCTGGCACAATTTGTTAACAGTTTAAGCTGGTTTTGCATTTTCCCTAAATGCTTTTCTTCAAGTAGACAGGACTTCTTGACCTTTTCAGAGCTAGGGCAACCTGTTCACAAATAGGCAAGATATTTTGTACATGTGATCTATGATCTAAACTATAGATCCCGCAAACTACAGCCTGTGGGCCAAATCTGGTTCTGCTACCAGTTTTTGTAAATAAAGTTTTATGGGAACACAGCCACAACCGTTTATTTACAAACTGTGGGTGCTTTTAACTACCAGGGCAAAGTCGAGTAGTTGGAGTAGTGTATGTCCCACAAAGCATAAAGTATTTACTTTCTGGCCCTTTACAGATAAACGCCGACCCCTGACCTAAACCATTTGAGTAAACCACTTTTTTTTTTTTTTTGTCTTTTTGTCCTTTTTACTGACCGGTACGGGATCACAACCCTCGGTGTTGCGCCCGTGCCGCGCTCAGCCAGTGAGCGGGAACCCGTCACCACATGGGATCCGAACCCTCGGCGGGAGCGCCAACACGCTCCCAAGCGGCACACTCTCCAGTGCACCACCGGGCCGGCCCAATAGTATTGTATTTTTAATTTCAATGTTCATATATACATTGCCTGTGTATAGAAATGCAATTGATTGTTGTATGCTTACCTTGTATCCTGCAACCTTGTTAAATTTACTTCTTAGTTCTGTGAGGGTTTTTGTTCTTTTAAAGCTTAAGATTTTCTATTTAGACAATCAGGTCATCTGAAAATTGGCCGGCCCTGAGTAAACCACTTTTGTGTGGCATGCTCTGTTTTAAATAATGCCTTCCATTTTGATCAAACCTAACTCTGAGGGGTTTCTTGGACACCTCGAACATGATGTGTTGCCTTTTGAAGCTTTAGAATACATATCCTGATTTTCTTCTTTAGGTTTTCTTACATCAGCGGCAAATAAGGTACACATTGTTAACTTGTATTAATGAAACCATTAACAAGTAAGGTCTTATTTGGTGGTTGTGTTGAGGGAGGGGAGGACACAAGGTGTGTCATCTTGCTGCTTCATGTAATCATTTTGAAAATATTATCTATGTTTGCTCACCAGAACACTCTAAACCAAAGTGTCAAGACCCTTCAACATATAAACGATGGGTTGATGGTAAGAATTTATTTTGTTTTTCTGTTGTGGGGTTTTGTTATAAAATACTACATATAGAATTTCAGAGATGTTGATTTTTGTAGGTACTTTAAGTTAAAAAAAAAAGTCTCAGTTATCCCCTCATTTTAGACAACAAACCAGGTTTTCCTACTATTTCCTTTCCACAAGTACTTTTATAAATGTGGACCTCATCTCAGCAGGTTGTTAGCTACATAAGCAAAGTTGGAGTTTTGATGTGTAAGATGCAGGCTTAGAAGGCACATTGGTCACTTTTATGGCGATAAGGCTGCTTAACAAAACCCCCCAAATCTCAGTGTCTTCTAACCACAAACATTTTCACTGCTGAGTTGACTTCAGGCTTCTCCACACATCTGCTCACTTAGAGACCCAGCCAGAAGGAGCAGCTCCTGCCTGGGCCATCTCGTGTCCTCTTAGTGGAGGACAAGAGTTCAGAGGATGAAAAGTCCTTTAAGCTGCTGCTCAGAGCCAGAGCACTGCCACTTTGCCTACATTCCATTGGCCAAAGCACGTCACCTGGCCACGCCCATCCTCATGTCAGGCTGGCGAGTGTACTCCAGCGAGGGCAGGCACCTGGGAGGGTGTCAGTAATCGTGGCCAGCTAACACAGTCTACCACAAGGGACAACCCTGGCCCCCAAGCCTTTCCACAGCAGGAACTGCGCTCCAAGGCTGTGCTATGTTCATCTTATAACAACTGCATCAACAGGCAATTCAGAAAAAAATTTTTTTTTAATGATTTAATATTATACAAACATTCCCATTATATTCTAAGACTTTAAGAAATTTTAATGCCATACAAATTAAAAATTGCGTTTTAAAAAGCAAAGTTCAAAATATTAAAAATATTTCTTAAGGAGTATGTATATACACATATTCCCATTCATTTTTTATGTGTATAATTCCAAGGAAATTTACCAAAATATTTACAATGGTGGTCTCTGTCTATTGGATTAAGGGTGAGATATATTTTTAAAACTTTCCATATTTTCTAAAATGAACGTAGATAACATAATTAGAAATGAATAAGCATTGCTATAAAATGAGCTGGAGAATATTATAATATAATTTAGAAACATTTTCATTCAAAATGTGTTGACTGAAAAAAAAAGGGTAACCTGCCATTATTGATAGATTTTATTTATGTAGAAGCTTCATTTCTTAACAATTTTAGATAAATTGGTGGTCACTGCACTTTGTTGTAAAATGTAAGTTAACTCCCTTCTTCCACTGACAAAGCTCAGATTTGTCGGTCTTTATGAAAGTGCAAAACATATTTATGTAAGAGTAAGCAGGTTCAAAACTGTACTTTTTAGCTCTTGACACTGAAAAATTCTTATTAATATCTTTTACTCTGACATATAAATGTCATATTATTATCTTTTAAATGTATGTAAATATGTATTTTAGGGACATATGTGGAAACCTATGTGTTTAAAAATGATTCTTATCCAAATAAAAGAAACTATTTAGAAAAAAAGAAAACTTTTTTTTATTGCATGGAACAGATTGCTCGCAAGAGGTTTTGGGTGTTTGACCCATAGTAAAAAACTAAATGTTCCTCCCTTCACTTTCCTCAGTGGACAACATCATGACTCAGTTCCTCCGAAAATATTCAGGTTTGCTCTACTCCAGGACCATGCTTACACCTCAAATCGTGGTTGCCATTTCTTAAGTGTGTGTCCCATGCTTTGGGACCCTGAAGACACACTGGTGACTGTGAAGGTTCTTGGCTGCCTCCGTGCACTTGACATTCACAACAATGGTGTGCGATGATGTGTTGCTATTCATGAGGAGCCCTGCAAATCAGCTGTGATCCACTCCCCAGGCTGTATGCCTTGAGGTCACTGGGCAGAAGGGGCCCCTTTCCTAGTCTACACCAAGCTGCCATGTGGGTGGCAGTAATCTTGTCTTTTGTGTTATGGTATAAAAAGTGTGGGTTTTGGAGTTAAAAACAAACAAACAAGCAAACAAAAATGAGGTGCAAATGCCAGCACCTAGTCTGCTCCCCAGCTTTGTGACCTTGAAGAGGGTTGGCTGTCTCACCTGTGAAGGGAGCCTAAGGACACCTTCCCCTGAGCCTTGCTCTGGGTATTCATCAGGTGCTTTCTAGAAAGAACCCAGCCAAGTATCTGGCTCTGTGCTCATCTCTTTCCCTGCCCTCAGAGGGCCAACTAGCAGGTCATGGTATTGTGGGGCTGAGTTACCAGTGCCTGAATCAATATGCAAATCATCTAATTTGATCCTTTTATCACTTAATACCCTGCCGATTGTTGCTGTATTTTCCAGGAGAAAGTGACCAAGATCCTTCACTCTTTGGATTCTGTTCAGAACTTCATCACAAATACTTCTTCTGTTATTGATGAAGTGAGTTTTCTTTTTTAAAACAATCATGTCAGTAAGTGGGCGTGTGCACATTCCATGATTAAATATCTATAGTATTTAAGTATGCTCTAGGCATTTTAATGGTTTTACTAATCTTTGATTTTTTTCAGGAAATTAAGAGATATGGGAGAACAATAGCAAGATACTATGAACAATATATGTATTGGGTAGAGTACTCTGTAAGTATTTGATCTTTTATAAACATAAAGGGAGCCATGTCTTGGGATAGTCTTTTTCTAGGATAAAACCTGGAGGAAATACAATTAAGTTCTTGGTAATTTGGTAGGAAGTAAGTGGAAGGACTTTGAAGTGTGGGGACTGACTTAGTCCATTTTGTGCTGTTATAACAGAATATCTTCGACGTAGTTTAGAAAGAACAGAGATTTACTGGCTTGTGGTTCTGGAGGCAGGGGAGTCCCAGACGGAGAGCCAGCATCCGTCATGGCCCTTCTTACCATATCATCCATGCCGGGACAAAGAGAGAGAGAGCAAGAAAGTGAATTCACAGTCTCCAGCCCTTTTATAATTGGCATTAATCCATTTGTGAAGGTGGATCTAATCACCTCTCATTAGGCCCCACCTTGCAGCACTGTCGCATAGGGGATTAAGTTTTCAACATGTGCTTTTCATTGGACACATTCAAATCATAGGAGGGGCCAAGACTTCTGGGGCCTGGCCACCAGGTTGGAGGACATGCCCCCACCTGGATCTCCTCTAAGGTCTCCTTTACTCACCTTCATCATAGGAGTTTTCCATTTTCTTCCTACTTCCTTTATCAGATAACCAACAGGTCAGGTGTGAAAAATTCATACTGAAACCCTGTGTTGGACATGTGTACTTGTTAATTCTCTCAGGAGTGCTGTGGGATGGGTCTTATTGTTTCAGTAACAGATGAGGCAACTGGAAACTGAGGTTCAGAGAGAATAGGGTCTTGCTTTAAAGTATGTAATTTTCTATTCTGTAGAACTCATCCATACAAATCAGGAGTCAGCTCCACGTCTTAGGGAATATAGATCCTTCTTGGGAAACCAAGCCAGAGTTAAACAACACATCTGATTCTTGTGGATTTTTGCGGATATGGCTCAGTTAAAGTTTGCCTGTGTTTCTTAACCCCTTAGATCACTGAGGAAATGGCAGCCTGCAAACCCGTGGCGACTGCTCTAGATTCTGCTGTTGACGTCTTTCTGTGTGGCTATGTTATCAGCCCTCTGGTAAGAATCTTGTCTTTCAAAAGGAGACACATGAATTCATCATCCTTGATCCCCCCCCCCCCCCCCCCCCCT